CACCTCTGTCTGTTTGCTGGAATGCAGAGGGACCCCCAGACACCCTCCCTGCCCTCGGAGCTCCCAGCCTAACCGGTGGGTCAGCATCTCACCCACGGTCAGCAAGTGGGCGATACAGAGCTAGAGCACCTCGAGCACGAGACCTTGCACGAGCCGTGGGGCAGCTAAGATCTCGAACCATCTGACGCACCAGAACGTGCCCCGGCGCTGACTCGAGCCAGCCGTGGAAGCAGCTCGAGAGCCTGAGCCAGGGCCCCGCACACTAGAGCCCCTCCAGCTCCGACCCACGGTCCCCCTCCGGAGGCAAAAGCAGCTCCGGGGTGAATTCCAGAGCAGAGCCACCTCCACACCAGTTGTCCCACCCGATCCGGCACCACTGGCAGAGTGAGAGGCAGCCCGAGAACGAGAGCCAGGTCTTGAGGCAGCTCAGCGCTGCTGGGGGAGGCCGGTTTCCTCTGACAAGGCACAGGGACGGGCTGTGGGGATCAGCACAGGGTGATCCCCCTGGCAGGGTGGTGATCTTCTCTCCTCCTGCTGCTTCGGCACCATCTCGAGACAGAGAACTGGCCTCTGCCCCGGGGCCGGTCACCGCTGCAGAGTCGACGCGGCTGCAGAAGCAGCTACAGACCCAAAGCCCGCTGCAGAGCTCGAGGCATTTCCATGTCCTGCTGCGGGGCCTTCGCCAGGAGCTCGGGAGCTGGAGCCACGTGCGCCCCAGTGGGAGGAAGCCCCTGGACCTACGGCTCCATCGCCGACTGCAGAGCTAGAGCCAAGGCAAGACTCCGAGCTGGACCGGCTCCACAGTCAGCTCCGGCGGCACCTCCGACCTGGAGCCAGCGCTGGCTCCCCCTGCAGATCTAGGGCCAGTGGGAGCAAGACCCAATCCAGCACCAGCTCCAGCCAGCTCCGGCCCCACCTCCCGGAGCAGCTGATGAGCTCCAACCAGGGCCAGTTCCAGCACCAGAGTCGGCCTGTCCTCACCAGGGAATGCATTCCTTTTCTTCTCTTTTGGCTTTGGTTTCTTTTCATGTCTCAAGGTATATTTGTAGCTTCAGATAAAAGAAACTTTATCTTTTTAAACATTTCAAAGTGTGCAAACCACTGTTATCAACTCCATTTCCCGTGCTGGCACCATCACCCTATCTAGTCCCAGAACATTTAATGCCCTGGAGAGAAACCCCGCACCCTCTGAGCAGGCAGTCACTGGCCATTCCCCATCCCCCTGCTCCCAGGCAACCCCTGACCTGGCACCTGTCATTTACCTGGGACGAATTTTTCATACACGTGGGATCATACCGTATGTGGTATTTGGGGTCTAGTTTCTTCCACTGAGTAGGATGTTTTCGAAGTTCACCTACGTGATAGCATGTATCACTACTTCATTCCTGGCGTGGCTGAATGAATCCCATTGTATGAACATACCACGTTGTGTTTGTCCATTCAAGTGTGGGTGCACCTGTGGGTTGTTTTCACCTTTCGGTTATTGTCCAGAGTGCTGCTACGAAGACTTACATGCAGGCTGTCGTTAGAGGGCCTGTATTCCATTCTTCTGTTTAGAGAATGAGTGGAGTTCGGCCAAATGAGAACAGTATGCTCAACGTGTGGACGACGTGCCACAGCCTTTGCCAGAGTGACTCCGCCATATTACATCTCCCCCAGCAATGGAGGAGAGTTCTGTTTCCCCAGATCCTCTCCGATACTTGTTATTTCTGCTTATTCACTAGAGCCCCTCCTCCTGGGTGGGGGAAGGCATATCACTGTGGTGTTGGCTTGCATTTCCTACGATCTCATGAGGAAAATCGCCCCATGTGCTCACTGGGTCGTCTGACTATCTTCTTTGGAGAAATGTCTATTATTTTCAGTGGGGTTGTTTAGGTTCTTAAGTTGGAGGAGTTTTGTACACATTCTAGATGCAAGACTCGTATGAGATTTGCTAATATTTCCTACCCTTCTTTGGGTTTCTTTACATTCTCTTGAGATTACCCTTTCGTTCACAAAAGTTTTTAGCAACGTTGAAGTCCATTGTCTCTGTTTTCTCTGTTGTTCCTTGGGCTTCGGGTGCCATACAAGAGACACCATATTGCCAAATCCAAGGGAAGGAAGATCTGCCCCTAGGTGTTCTTAGTTTCCTTCTGAGTGTTAAGAATTTTCGCTCTTAAAGTTCATTCTTGGATCCATGTGGAGTTCATTTTTTATAGGGTCGAAGGGAATGCTCTGACTTCACTCCTTCGTATGTGGATATCCAGTTTCTCAACACCGTTTGTTGGAGACACTGTTTTTGCCTCATTGAATGATCTTGGTCTCCGTGTTCGAAAACAACTGACTGTACATGTATGTATTCCTTGATTCTCAGCAGTATTCCATTGATCCATATGTGTTGGCCTTCTCTTCTCATACCTCTCGGGAAATATTAAAATCTCGTACAGAGTTTTTCAAATTCTTAGGATTATTTGCATAGAAGATCATGTCATATATAAATAAACTTTTTCTTCTTCCTTTCCATTTGTGAGCTTTTAGTAACTAATCTTGTATAATTTCTCTGACCAAACTTCCATGACAATATTGAAATGAAGTGGTGGACATAGGCATCCTTGACTTTTTGGGGATTTTAAGGAGAAAACTCTCAGTCTTTCACCACAGAGAATGATATACATATGAGTTATTTTTCATAAATATCCTTTATCATAATTTTTAAAGAATTATTTATTTATTTATTTGAGAGCATGCAAACCCAAGAGTGGGGAGGGGCAGAGGGAGAGAATCTCCAAGCAGACTCCCGACTGAGTGCAGAGCCCTCCCTAGAGCTCAATCTGAAGACTCTTGAGATCATGACCTGAGCCCAAACCAAGAGTCGGACACTCAACCCACTGAGCCACCCAGGCACCTCTCCTTTACCACAATTGAATCTTCTATTTCTATTTTATTGAGAATACTTGTTATGAAAAGGTTTGGATTTTGTCAAAGCTTATCCTACAACAATTGACATGATCATGTTTCTTTTGGATGTGGGCTAGGACACTGATTAGCTATGTTGAACAGCCTTTGCATTCCCGGTGTAAATCACACTTGGTCATGATGTAGAGTCCTGTCAATGTGCTGCTAGATTCTGTCTGCTAGAATTCAACTGAACATGTGATGGGCATAAGTACATTCCCAACGCTGTGCCACCACACCCCAGAACATTGCTGCGGAATATCTCGTGTCCCAAAGGAGTCCCCGAACCAGAAGCCCCCCTGCCCATTTCTCCCCCTGCCCAGACCCTTGGCACTGAGTGAGGGGAGCCAGACACGGAAGGCTGCATCCCGCACAATCCCATTACGTGGAATGTCCAGAACAGGCAGATCCACGGAGGCAGAGCACAGAGGGGTGGTTGCCAGGGCTGGGGGAATGGGGAGTGCCTGCTGATGGGCTGGCTTGGGGTGGTGAAAAAGTTCTGGAATTACGTGGTGGTGATGGCTATCCAACTCTGTGAGACACTAAAGCCCAGTGAGTTGTGTGCTTTAAGAAATGTTAATTTTATTGTATATGGACTACGTCGCAATAAAATAAACCCCTGAACAAAATCAAAATGCAGAAGGGCTTGTTGAGTGAGCGGGGGAGTGAAGGAATAAGTGGGGACGGAGTGACTTTCCCGGCCGCAGCCCCCACAGACGTGGTCCCGGGTGCCCCGGGTCATGCGGTGACAAGGGGCTGAGAGCAGAGCTGATGGGGACGTGTCCTCGCGGCTGTACGTGGCCTGGCTGGGTGTGCTTCCAGGGCTGGGCCTGCCTGTGTAGACCGGTGTGGCCCCCACGCAGGGCCTGGCCGGGCTTGGGTCTGGACTCGCCTGGCCTCTTGTCACCATTGTGGTTTCTGTCGTGAACAGGGAGCAGAGTGGAAGGGGGTTCACCGTGGCTCTTGCAGCTATGTGCTGTGACGTGAGGCAAGGCTGTGTGGGGCTACCTGTCAGGAGGGCCTGCGTCCTGACCACGCTGCCAAGGGCTGTCCCCGGGGGCCACACCTGCTCTTTCACTGCAGCCTGTTTCCAAGGGGCGCAGTGGCCATGGGAGCAGACGTGTGACGGGGGTTCATGAACGAGGACATTCGATCGTGGGGAGGGGCACCTGTCACCTCACAGCTACACAACAGGTGGTAGCAATTAGTATTCTTAGGGTTATTGTCATCTCTACCTACTTAAAACTTTCCACATATGTTCTCGGCAGAAATGTTTCTTTGCTTCAATAACGTCTTTCTTGCAAGGATGCCCTGTGTGTTGGCAAAACAAAACAAAAGTAAATAAAATGAAAAAATAGAATGCACAATTTCTAAAACATTTATGAGTGTTGTGCTGGGTGATAGCAGCTTTTGTAAGGATCTAAGACTAGTTCGTTCAAATGTCTGATAAGCCGTTTCAGTTAAGTGTCTCTTTTGCATTTTAAAAATTTTAAGTTATGTTCTCTCATTGGGTTTTTTGTATTCGAAGAAAGAGACTGTTCAGAGCACTGCGGCCTGTTCTTTCTCTTCAGGCTCCTGCTTTCACGGGTGCTCGCCTGTAGCCAAGGGGTCTTTGCCCAGTGTGGTTTTGGAAATCCTCACCTTGGGAACCGGTTTTGAGAGAAATTATTGTCTAATGAATATGTAACCACATTAGAAGCAGAATTTAAAAAAATCTTATGAAAAAGCTTTCAGACCTGTATTGGGAATAAGTAATGTCGTTTAGGCCCTCGCTTATCAGGAGGTGAAAGGCCTGAGAAGCAATAATTTATAATATATTAATTATGTTAATTAATTGGAAAAGACTCAGAATATTAATTATCTGCAACTAATTAGGTATTAAAATGGAAAACCATTAAGTGATGAGATTGAAGCCTAGGAGCCATCTAGTTCGAGCGAGAGAAATGGGCCCCCGGCGTCCCTTGCCTGCCGCGTGCAAGTCTCTGCGAGCCGCGCCCCCGCCCCCGCCCCCGCCCCGTGGTGTGTCCTGTGGGTTAACCGCTCGCTGTCTTTCGCATGCTCCCTGGCACACAGAGGAGGAGGACGTGGACGCTGCCGACGTCTCCCGCGTGCCCGCAGACGTGCTGCGTGATGTCGAGGCAGACACGTACTGGTGCGTGAGCAAGCTGCTGGATGGCATTCAGGTGAGCCCCCGCCGGCCTGGCCTCTGACTCCGAAACCAGCGTCGCGGGGTGGGGGGCACTGGGCCTGCCGCATGGGCCTGCCCCGTGCGCAGCTTGGCCACGTGCCGCCTGCACAGGGTCGGTGGGTGTGGGAGATACTGCATGCACGTGCACACACACCCCTGCATCTGCAGACAGTCCCGGTGCGCTGCTGGGGCCTCCTAGGGCGTGGGGCTCTCCCCTCCCCTGCAGTCTGACTCCCACACATTGCCAGCTCCCCAGCTCTGCTGCCGGTGACGCCGGGTGATCCCAGCACCAGATGTGGGGTGGTGCTGATAAGCCTGGTGAGCTGTACTCAGGGCAACCCGCCCCTTACGGGGCGTCCGAGTTAGGGCCTCAGAGCTCACCTGTCACCTGGGCCCATGAGCAGCCGGCCCCACAGTCTCTGCTGGCCCCGGGCCAGGGGTCTGCTGGTGGGGGACTGCAGCTGTGCCCGGTCCCCGAGGGAAGCACAAGCTGCTGGAAGCCCTGCTCCCCATGGCCGGGGCTCTGCTGGACTTGCTGTCAGTCGGGGCGGGTGGTGGAGATTTTTGCAGAAAGGCTGCAGGTCTCCCAGGGCCGGGGTGATTTTATGGAAGTGGTTTGGGGGAAAGACCCTACACAGAGTAGGAAGGAGGATGGGAGCCTGTGGATGTAGCAATCTGTGGTCGAGGTAGATGGAGGCCCCCTGGTGGGTGTGGACCGTCTTGGCTCACTCTTGCCGACACGGCTTTCCTAGATGCACACTCTGCACCAGGGCTGCGTGCCTTCCTGGGGAGGGAGAAGTATGTCAGCAGACGCCTCCTAGGAGCTCAGTGTGGGGCGCAGGGTGGAGCCAGAGGGGGCATGAGACGCGTGCTCCCGAGGACCCGATTTGGGAATGCAGCGAGACTTGGAGGAGGGGTGACGGGGGTGGGGGGTGGTGTGTCGAGCCCCGAGCAGGGTTTGGTTGATGGAGGTTTTCTGCGGGACCTCATGGGCTGGGTTCACTCCAAAGATGCCCCAGGGACGGAGCCCGTGTGGGCGTCTGTGCTGCGCCGGGACACCATTCGTCGCAGGTGAGTAGGGGAGAAGCAGATGGGGTGCACTTGTCCCCTGCGTTTCCTGCCAGGCCAGGCCATCCTGAGCCGCCGTCGTGGTGCTGTTTCTGACACCGCTGCCCGTGGAGGCCTTGGCTCAGCTGCTGGGCTAGAAGGGGCCCGAGGAAGACTTCTACCCGATGTGGTCTCCAGATTTGGGTCCTGAGGTTTAATTTGAATAAATGAGCCAGAATGACTGTGTGGGAGAGAACGGTGTGGGCTCACCTTACTTTTGATAACGGGAAGCGACAAAGGGCAGGGAGAGGCCCTTCCTGTAATGACGAGTAAGAACCTTGTTTGCATCTGACAGAGAAAAATACGATTTTGGCCCAAGCCTCGATTTATCATTTCCCTCCATTGTTAATGTTTTCATATGTGTTAGTCTTCTCCCAAAATGTAAGACTTTTTTTTTTCCCCGTTTAGAAAAGGGATTGAATCATAACGTGAGACCTTATAAATTTCAAATGTCACTTCTCTTACCATGAGTGATGGAATTCCTGCCATTTAGATACAAGATTATCCCGCTTCTATTTGTGAATAAAATCAGCTCTACACTGGAAGTGAGGCTGGCTTTTCATTTTTCACCTGAGGTTTGCTGTCTGATGGGACGGCTGACATTCCTTTTGGGCCAGGGTTGCGTGTGTGCGTGCGTGTGCGTGTGTGCAGTGTGGGTCCCTCCCGGTACACGCGTTCACCGCCCTCTGCAGGCCGCCGCGAGCCGCAGGGCCCTGACGTGAGCAGTGTGGAGGGGTGCCGGCTACCAGCACTGGGGGCCTCGGGGAGATCTGTCATTCCCTGAGGTGAGGCGAGCTCCTCTGGGGGGCTGTTGGGCGTATTCGGGTGTCCCCGCTGCTTTGTGTGGACAGGTGTGAGGGCCTGAGGGGACGGAGCAGCAGGCGGAAAGTCGGACCGGGCGTTGGCGTCCTGAGGAGCCGGAAGCTTCTGTTGCTGCGCTTGCTCTCATACAACCTGGGCTCGCCCCGTCCTCTCTGCTCTCTCCTGACGACTCAAGGGCCGTCTTCCTGGAGCACCTTCTCATCACGTCACTGCCCTGCTTGAGAGCCACTGAGAACTCGTGCTTGGCCTTGATAAGTGCGGCCCTGTCAGCCTGGCCTTCGCCGGTTCCCTGCAGCTTAGGAAGTTCGGGGCTGTCTATCGCGTGACGCTAAATCCACGTGCCAAGGGAGACGGCAGGGAGTCCGAGTCCCTGGGCCACGGCTGTGCAGCGGCCCTCCTGCTCTCCTCGGCAGCAGCAGCGGGGCTTCCCGTGTCAGTGGGCAGTGACGGCTAACGTGTCCGAGTGGCTCTTAGCTTCACAGCAGAGTGGATGTCACACCCTGCACACTCACACACCCCTTGCCTGGGGTCAGAGAGCCTGTGTTGGGACCCACATGTGAGCTCTGAAGCCTGTGGTTTTCTGCTCTGCTTTATAACCGTGTCCAGCTGAAATCAGTGGAAACGACTTCCATTTTGCTGGCTACGTTCTAGAGGGCAAAAACCACATCTGCTCATTTTTCTGGAGACGTGACTGTGCGTTCGGCTCACCTTGCGGCCTCAGTCTGAGACTCTGTGTTCTGCATTTGGCCACCGTGTGGGGAGCACCTGCTGTGTGCAGGGGCTGTGCAGTCACCAACCTGTTGTCCCTGCAGGATGCGTATCCTGGTGGCCAGGGGTGCGCGGAGAGGACTGCTGATGGACGGCAGAGTTCTAGGGGTTCTGGGGGAGGGGAGGCTCTGTTCCCAGGAGGATGACAGGCTAGGCCCAGGAAGAAGCTGCTCCCTCCCAGCATATGCCTGGAGGCATTGGATGATGTTGAGCAAGAATTGTCTAAAATGCAAAGCTGGACTCCTTACCAAGCGGAGGGGAGTCCTGCGGACACGAGGAGTGGTGACCCCGCCAGTAGACGCTAGTAAGTGTGGAGGGAATGATAGCAGTCGTGCCTAAAAGTTAAGGTTTTATTGTCCTGGCCAGGGGTAGAAATAAGATAAAGCCGGGCCTGCATAGGGAAATCCTGGTGCTACTCAGAAACAAAAATAAAATGGTTCTCCCGTCAGGGCTTTCCAGCTTCGTGTCTCGGGGCTGCGTTACAGTCTTCAAAAATCCCGAGGAACTCAAAGAGCTTTGACTCACGTGGGTGAATTCTGTCGGTATTTACTCTGTTAGAAACTCAAACAGAGATCATTTAAAAATATTTAGTAATTTATCTTAAAATAACAGTGATAAATCCCTATGTGTTATTATAAGTAACATATCTTGGTAATAAATTAGTATTTTTGAAATGTAACTATTTCGTGAGAAGGAGGGCACTGTGTTCCCCTGTGTTAAGACCCTGTAGGTCTGACTCCGTAGAAGACACCCGAATTCTCTCGTGTGCTTCTGCATTCAGTCCGTGGAGATATGTTGGTTTTGATGGGAGTGTGTGAAAACAGTCTGGCCTCTCCCAGGCAGGGCGTTGGGAGAGGGAGGGGAATTTTCACAGCGCTCTCCCGACGACCTGGATGTCTGCTCGCTAACACTAGACCAGAGCTTAGCACGGTGGCTTCCTGAAGGTCGCCTGCCGTGTGACAGTTGAAGCCATGTCAGCCACCGTTTGTTCCCAGTGACGTTGAAGTCCACTGGCCTGTCTTGCACTTTGAGCGGGTGTTTTGCCCTCACGTGGTTCTGTAGCATCGACGCTGGCCATCTGGGGAATACTGGGTGACTGGGGTGTGTGGAGCTTCTAGATGTTGACGCACCTCATCACACAGGATCACGTCCCGTAGCCTTACCACCGTCTTGTCAGAGGAAGCTGGTGAGCCCAGAGTGGCAGGCGAAAGTTCTTCAAAATTCAGAGTTTGGCTTAAAAGCTCAGATATTATTGGCAACACATACTGCCGATTGTTTTCCTTGAAATGACAGTCTTTGTTCATTTTTGAGAAAGTGCCAAATACCCAAGTTTGAATGACCGGTTTGCCTGTTAGTCATTTCTTCTAGTGAAAATGATGTTTCTTGAAAAATGTTATCTGATTCAGCTCACAGCTCCAACAATTGACCAGGGGCATTTTTAGAAGAAATCACTGTTGTTTGGTACACATCTCAAGGGCTCTCTGTGTTCTTCCCACTTTGCCACACAGAATATTGAAAAGATGTTTACTTGAGGGTCGGGATCTGATGCAATATTAATCATAAAATTAGGAACCTCATCAAGGACATCCTTAAGCGAAACTGCCTTTTATTTATCTTCGCCACTGTGAGTGCGAGGCGCTAAGAATGCGGCTTGGTGGTACTGCCTCGACTCATGCCAACGTGTCCGCGCTTTACTCACCTTTTGCGCCAGCCGTGCAGGCGGCAACACGTGACAAAGGTAAATAACGTTGCTATTATTAGGAATGGGTTTTGATCTCCGAGACTGCTTGAAAGGGTCTCCTGGACGGCAGCAGTGGGCCGACTGCCCCGGAGAACTGCCGCCCTGGGGGCTGCTCTCTCAGCACAGGCCTGTGGTTTTCCCACAGAAAAGCCCCCCGAAGACGGGCTCACGATGGAGAAAGCACGAGACAGAAGAAGTGTGTGCCAGGACTGGACATTAACAGGCATTGTGATTAGCAGTGATCTACCCCAGGGACTCGACATCCTACAGCAGTGATGTGAATGGAGCCCAAACAAGTAATTAACACGAAGAATAAGACTCTGAAAGAAGAGCTCGCAGGTTTTTGAAAAGAGCCCAACAGAACTTCTAGCAACCAAACTTACGGTCGTTGAAATTTACCGTTCTTTAGACCCAGCAGAAGAGAGGATTAAAGCAGAAGGAGAAAATTACTGGGTGGGCAGCACTGAGGGAGGGCACGGATTTGGAAGAGAGGTTAGGGCAGAATGAGCAACAGGCCCGGGATGGGAAAACATGCTGTGCGAGCCCCCTTGCACACA